GCTCCATGGACTGAAACTGGAATTGGCTATATTCACAAAACAGAGTCATGCTGCTATTCTAAACCCAAGCCTGCGACATGCAGGCTGTAGGTCTGAGATTTTAAATATATAGTTTAGTGAGATTCTTTTTGGAAAAATTTAGTGGCATACCTATTCCTGCTTATTATCCATTAGCTTGACATAACGTATTAGTCTAATATTTAAAAGGGTGGAGGGAAATTCTTAAGTATAAGAATAAGAAGCTTTTATTTACACATTAATGAGAGTAACAGTTTACTCATTTCTTTGGTTTCAGTGAAAAGTAAAATATTTTTCTCAGTGATTTCTTTCAAGACAACTAAACTATCTTGTCTAAGCACCATGTTAATTTTAAAAAAATAAATATTGGCAGAGAGTGGTCTTTCTATGATATATCATTCACTTGCTTGACTTACTAATCCAAACTCACTGAAGATAATTTTTTCTCTTACCATAACAGTTATAATCATCATCCTTTTCTGTGGAGATAAAGCTAAGTATTCCCTTATTAAAAATGCTTGGAAATGACCAAACCAGTGAGAGGATGCTGAACAATGTCATCTGAAAAATATCAGATACAAGGGGGGACATTTGGGCTTGGAAAAGAATTGAAAGAAAACATAAAGTAGCCCTCCAGTGTAGAAAGGGAAGGGGGCAGGTGGTGGGGAACAATTTGATTTGCCAGTAAAATTCCGGAAAATGAAATCAAAAATGAGTGGAAGCTGCAAGGACATAATCTTCTAACAATTAGTTAGGTTTCCATCATTATTAGTAACCAGGGAAGGATGTGAGCCCAGCCAATTATGGGGATCCTGCCCTGAAATGGAAGATGGGCTCTATGATTATGGTGGGAATTTGGTATCAGCGTCCGCCCAGTGTCCATTCCCTCTTCTTCTGGTGAGAGCAGCTTGATTTCTTTGGAAAAACCCCTATCCCATTCTCAGTCCATGGGGTTTGAGATGGGCTTCCCCATGTGCTTTTAGGATTGATCAGCAGATCAGATCCTCCTTGAGCGTGACTGGTTCAGAGAAGGACATTGACCAAGGGAAGCTTATTTGATTCTATTCAGGAACTCTCGCTATACACTGGAAAAGAGGGTGAGCAGGTAGCTTCAGTCGCCATCCTACTGGTAGGAAAGAAGAGCCTGTGTGAGACAGGAAGACAGCAAGACAGAGTCCTGATAAAAATGTGTGAGCACCTGAGCCCTGTCATACCTACAGTTGCAATCCATCCCGAATCATCTTCTCAAATACATGAGCCAATGAATTCTCTTTTGCCCTTAAGCCAGTTTTGAATTGGTTTCTCTTACTTGCAACCAAAAACATCCACCCTAGTTGATACAATGGTTGGATAGCGACTTATAATTCTAGGATTCTAGGTTTTTGTTTTTTTTTTTTAAATGATTCTGCTATTTCTGTATTTTAATGTTTTTGTTTTTAATAGGTCGACTTCAGCCTTATCTGCCTCAAAGTAGCTTCTGTCTAAAAACTAAAGTAAATAAAATAATCAACCTTATTCAGTTAGTGACAATTACTCAATTCATCCAAATGATTCCAACTGCTTTCATGGTGAGTAGAGACCTCTTCTGAGGACTAAATCTCTTGAGCTGTGTGACAGGTCTTCGCCATTTTAAATGTCTGATATTGCCTACACTGATTGCTGGAGACATATACAAGACAATAAGAAATGTTTTACGTTTATAGATATTCTACCCAAGAAGAATGCTATACAATTATTTGAATTTTCAATCTTTCATTTAGATGCTTGGATTAACATAGATAAAGCTAGTGTGGATATGCTGTAAATTTCCAAAAGAATGGGAAGCCAAAATAAGAAAATATTTAAAACATATTTTTAAGATAACAGACATGTTAATGTTAAACCAGTGTTTCTCAATCTCTATATTCACTTAGCTAACTACAATATCACCATATGGTTAGATGAGATAAAACTTTTTTAATTTTTGACATGTTGCTTCTAATACCACTACTGTAAACTCATTTGTAGGCAGCTGATTAATTAAAATTGAAATTAAATGTCAATAAGTACGAGTTTAGCAAAGTCTTTTAAAACACAGAATTTAGGCAGAACATTAATAAAGAGTGCTTGATCATAAAGTCTTGTTTCACTGTGTTATGCCAGTATTTTATACTTAAGGGATTAATAATCTCTTTAATCAAAGGTTAAAAACTTGCCTTTTGATTCCTAAGATTCTATATCTCAAAAGAGAATTAAGGCGAATGAGGCAGTGTATTAGAAATTATTACTGAACGCTGTATAGCCAAAGAATTTTGCACTTCGTGTTGGTCTACCAGGCTAACCCTTTCCTAAACAAGGAGTTCTAAAATTTTTTTACTCATCAGCTTCATCTACGATTGCTTTAGCGCACTCATCCACTTAATTTTTCCTCTTCTCTTTCAGAAAGAAATGAGAAAAATGGCAGAATCTCTTCTCTGCCAATGAGAAAAAAACTGTAAAATCTTTCTTATTGTTTACCCATTTAAGAAATTATGAAATGTTCCACTTGCTGTGTCTTTCTCAGAAGTTAAAAACCAGTAGCTCATGAAGTAAACTTGGTCTATAGGCACACAGTTTATATTGTACATCCATCAGAATAAAAATTAGTTGCTGACATGTAAAAGTTGGAAGCTCAAACAAAAGTCTAGATTTCTAGTTTCTCTTGAAGAACAATAAGATGGAGAGGCACCTGACCTGAGTCTCCATATGGCTGAGTGGCAGGTGTCTCCCTTGGATGGGGCACACGCTCAAGTCCCCATCATTCCCCTATATACTACACCTGGCCAGTTTTTCAATGCATTTGCATTACCAAAATCATCACATCTGGTTAATAAATTCTGAGTAAGGTGGGAGGGAGGATCAGAACTGTGAGAACACAGTACTCATGTGAAGAATAAGTGCTAATATTGATAGTTTGGGACTAGCCTGGTGACACTAGTGGAGGTGGAGGTGATAAATAGCAGGAATTGGGTAATGATAGGGAGTTTCCTCAGTTTAAATATATAGTTTAGTGCAAAATGTTGAAGCATATTTGAACCCTATTAGTCAAATCAGAAATTTGTAGTAAGTCAAGTGGTAGAAACAATCAATTAAATTCACTTATCATATGGAATTCTTGATACTGACATACTATTTTTCCAAAGGTAATTTAATTAGCTTATAACAATGGTTAATCTGCAGCAGTAGTATGCAGTCATGAATCCTGTTCAAAATATTAGGTTGTCTCTTTGCTTCCAGGCACATAGTAGGATTATATTTCACTCTGGGCTGCAGGAACATAAGACTTGTTTTGGCCAACGCAATGTGAGTGAAAATGCAGCGCTGCACTTCTAAGCAGAAGCTTTAAGAACCCATGCACGTTTGGCTCTTTTCCTTCTGCAATGGCAGTATTCCAGAGCATATTGGTTCACCAGCCTGGCCTTAGAGAGGAGCAGAGCCCCCACCAGACCCCTGGTGTGCATGGGGTGCGAAGGAGAAATTGCCTTTTGTTGTTATAGGCCAGGACTAAGGGTTGCTTGTCACAGTAGCACAGCTTAGCTTCTCCTGATTGACCTACAGTGTTATTATAACTTAATTCATTCATGATTTTTAACATGTCTAATACCCATATTATTTTCTTAATGTCATTTTAAAATTAAAACTTTTAAAATATAACCTTGTTCTGAGCAATACATGTGGTACATACTAGTTATATTCCAACTATATTAAAAGTAAATACATAACTAGTAAAAGTAATATCATGTACCACATTTTAAGAAACACTGAAGTAAATAGAAAATGAATCTCATGTTAAAGACTGCAGTATAAGCAACTGTGCTATCAATTTTCAGGTTTGGCTACAAATTTGAATGCCATGTCAACATTCAATGAACTACACTGCTTTCTTGATATACCAGAAATCAGAAAGGGAGGTATACTACGAATTTAATACATGTGCTACTCCGTAGTACATAGCAAGTGTTAAAAAAAAAATGTGTGAATACACCATTTATAAACCATATCAGGTTTGTTTACAAAAACCGTTTAAATGGACACTGTCATCATCAGATTTAATTTGTATATGCAAATCTAAAGGTGTACAGGTGTAAAGGGTAGATACATACACATTTTTACAGGCTTCCTTCTTGCATTCTTGAGTACTTGACCTTTAGCATTAATTAAAATCATTATATCTACAGCCGGCAAATCCTGTCTTATAGGTGACAAACAGATTCATGAATAATTACAATTTTGCAACAGATTGAGTAGATTACAGAAAAAGGCAAGGGATATTTTATAGGGGTAACAGCCAAGAAAAGGTCTTAGAGACACCTGCCATTTCGTGCAAGCTAATGTAGTACCTCAAGTAACTCCTATATATTTGCATTGTATACACTACATGCATTCTAGATGTAATTCATCTAAAAATATACAGATGAAGAGTTTAGATATTAGAAAGAAAAAAACCTGTTGTCTCAAAAAGATGTAATTTAAATAAAAATCAAGCATAATAATCTGCTGTATGAAGAATGAGTTTTGAAATTAGAGATAGCCCCCAAAAGAGAAAAACTAACGGGAGACATAATAGCTACTGCCAAATAATTGAAGGGTTATCATAGCAAATAAGATGTGGGCTTATTTACACACGCCAAAGGAGTTAGGATGGGAAAAGGTGGGCAAATCTACAAAAATTTCAGGCTAAAATCAGAGAGGATATTTGTAGCTGTTCACCTTAAGGCAGCTCTGGCAGTCTTCACAGCGATCATGTGATCTTTCTCTGCAGGGAGTGCTTTGTAGAATTCCCAAATCCAGAAGGACTATAAAGATCAGTAACTCACCACTCACCCTTCCAAAGCTTCTGTTCTTTTTTAACACTTAGTTCAGGAATAGCAGATAGTAACTCCACCTTCCCCTTAGAACTATTAATAACAGAACAACAAATTACTACAGGTAAACTAAATATTGAAAATAATTCAAGATAGTACCTTTCATTTTCTTTTAATATGTCCCTTCCTTTCTTCCAGGTGTAAACAGGTTTTGGAGATGCTTTTGGCTTACACTCGATGACAACTTCACCTCCCACTTTGACAAGAGTTACTCTTTTCAAGAGTGTTCTTGAAAAATCTGGACCTACAGCTGAAAGACAGTACAAAAAATAATTATTATTCAAGACAGCCTTCCATGAGATAATTCCTTAGTCTTTTTTTTTTTTTTTCTCTAATACACTTATTGCCACCTTAGTCACCAAAGGGTGGAAGCTAATTTTTTTAAGTATGTAGCACTGTATGTTTTGATAGATTTATTAAACCTGAGGTATAATTTGTATTTGGTAAAATGTACCATTTGTGTGTGTATAGTTTGATGAATTTGGTATATACCACCGTGAAGATCAAGATAGAATACTCTCATTTCCCTGTTGAGGGATTATTTTAAAGAAAATTTATTCTATGTCCAAGTGAACAAACATTTTAAAATTTCAGAAAATCAAAAGAGAAAGAAACAAAATTAGAAACTCCATAAGAAATTTATTTATTTTTATTTTTATTGTGTAAGTTAAAGGATTCCCTCTCTGATACGGTCACCACCTCTGTTCATCCCATAGCACTCTGTTCATGTGTGTCTCCATTAGAGAATGTGTTGAACTGTCTATATTGTCACATTCTGTATGCTTCTCCTTAAAAACAGGGCTTTGTTTAGCTTTTCACTGCAAGTGCCTAATGCAATGCTTGGTTCATTTAGGAGAACTGTGACTTGCTCTTGGAGCATAAGTATTGAGAAAGCTCTATTACATGCTTACCATTAGTGTTTTAAAAAATTCACTCATGCTAACACCAGTAACATAGTTATACGGAAATACTATTAAAGAATGATTTCTTTCCTAAAACAAAAGATATATATTTGTATTCTCACAAAAGTAAAATAAAAGACATCTTCCTGGAAAATATCTATTTTCTTCTGAGTTAACCGAATTAATGTGCAGGAAGAGATTTTGGAATGAAGGATTCATTTCTTGGAATCTTAATTTTATCATATTTTAAAACCCTGACTCACTGCAGTTTGACCTGCTGGAATTTAATATTTAAGACCATGTTGAATGTAAAATTTAAATGTAAACCACAAATTACTTAAAGGAGGACTGGGAGTATGTGTTATATGAATGCAGGGCCTTCAGGGGTAATGGGGGCCAATTTTTTAAAAGTACCTAAATCATAGGCTAATGATCTTTAAAAATGAAAACAACCTTCAGTGGAAGCAAGTTAAATCTTGATTGTATTCATTTTTTGTGGAAATACTTTCGGTAACTGCCAAGAAACAAATAAAGATGGAAAGGTTACGTTTTAACAGGACCATGCAATATACACATGGGGCTAGTATTATCATGAGAAGGTAAAATTTTAAAAATGAATCTAGTAGGTAATTGATATCTCAATCTGTTTACCTCAGATTTATTAGGGGAGTCTATCATTCAGGGAGTAATTCAATGATAATAAGTACATAATAAGTAGAGTGCAAGTACAGGTGTACAGATGTTTTTGCTGTAATGAGATAAATGTATTTCTTGTATGGTCTGCAAAATTACATAATAAAAATTGTAAGGTTTATGAAAAAGATAGAGTCAGGACATACCTTCTCAATATTTGTGTAACAATATTTATGTAACAAGAACACTACAGAAAGAATAACCATACTAATAATATCAAGCATAATTAAATATAAACATGATCAAAAATATAAGTTCGATTCATAATAAATACTACAAAAAATACAATGTGTGTATGTGTGTGTGCACATGCATGAGAAGGTAGCTTGATGGAAGAAAGAAGGAAGATTTGAGATTGCTAAGCTATGAAATAAGTGCAAATTGCAGAAAGATTGAGAATTATACAATAAGCACTGCCATGTTAGAGTAAGTGGCCAAACTGCGCCAAAAGGGAGAATCTGGCATGCATGGGAATCGTGCAGTAGGTATTTTCCCTTGGCTAGCTGTGTTAATCTGTGTTCGTAGGCTTTGTGTTTAGTTGCTGCTACTTAGTAAAATATCTGAACACATCCAGTGTTTATGTTATACTGACACCATTCCCCTACTTACCAATTCCACATAAGCTAATTTATGTCACAGAAAAGTGTTTCAGCAGAGCAAACTCAATGCAAACTGCTGACTTGACTCAAAAATATATATATAAAAAAAAAGTCAAGTATTCTTGAAAAAAATTTTTAAAGGGTATTTTGTGAAACAGAGTTATAAATCCGTATCATATAAAAATCCCTTCTTAAAACTATATCTTTCTACACTCATATATTTTTTATCACTTTAGGCAGGTATTTTTCATCCATTCAGGAGGAATTCTGCAATTGCATTTGAAATGAGTTTACATAAATCAAACTGTGCACAACACATGGGCATATTTGTCAAAAAACTATATTTTGACTTTACAAGATTTGAAATAGCATATCACACACAGAAACCAGAAAACACACCTTTCAGTTTCAAAGGCATTTATAACGTACTATTTGTGTGCATATAATCTTTTGGATATCTTAGAGATAAGACTGGCTTGAACATCTTTCATTAATAAAAATGCAGTTAAAAATTCGAGGCCAGGCATGGTGGCCCATGACTGTAATCTCAGCATTTTGGGAGGCTGAGGTGGGTGGATAACATGAGCCAGGAGTTTGAGACCAGCCTGGCCAACATGGCGAAATCCTGTTTCTACTAAAAATACAAAAATTATATGTGGTGTTGTATGTCTGTAATACCAGCTACTGGGGAGACTGAGGCATGAGAATCACTTGAACTTGGGAGGTGGAAGCTGCAGTAAGCTGAGATTGCACCACTGCACTTCAGCCTGGGCGACAGAGCTAGACTGGATGTTAAAAAAAGAAAAATCAAGTTTTTGTTTACTCAATTTACCTAATTAGCTTCTGACGTTATCTAACCCTGCAAATCTATCAGCTGTAACCATAAACTGTGGTACTTTTAAGGGAAAATTGTCAAAACTTCATCAGTTTTTGAATACTTGAGCCATTAATAGATTTCTTAACAATCTGGCAATTTGTGACCATCTTTTGCACCTGAGATGTTGTTCAGCTTGCAAGATGGTGCTTTTTCCTATTTATACCCTTTATTCTGATCCCCAAAAACTGACCTAGGGGAGGTTTGAAGGAAAAGTGAAAGGGAACTGTCCCATGTGACATTCACAGGGAATGAGGTTTTAAAAGCCATTGGTAAAGTCCCCAAAAGGGCACTATTAGAATCTAACCTTTGCTGGCACTTAAAAAATTAGTGCACATGGAAGTGAAACTTCAGTAGGTTCCTAGTAGATGAGAAAAGACAAAATCAACTGTCAAATTACCCCTTAAGTCTGACAGTAGCTCAGATACTGGGAGATCCTCACTTGCTATATTTATTATACTTAAAGGATAATATTTCTCACATACACTGCTAGAGGGCACCACTCCCTCAGTGTTAGAATGAGTTGTATTATGGGACCTCTTCTATATGAGAAATGCAACTTTTTATTATTTATCAATGATCTTTATTATATTAACTTGATCTGTGGGAAGCATCTGGCTGAGAGAAGCCCTCTTTGTAATTCACAACGATTTGTTTTTAGTGAATTAAATGACTTTTGGTTATTTATCAAGAGTATTTTAAGCGGCCAACAGAGCCCCTCAAAAGCAAAAGTTGTTTCTGTTTGTTTGTTTTTTGCCTTTGCATCATTTCTGAAGGGAAACAGTAGAATGATAACTCCTTAAGTAGATATGCAGTGGCAGTCCTATTTGGGAAATACATGGATATGATGTCTTACTATATTATTGAAGAAGAAAGGATTAGTATGCATGCCAGTTCTATCACAGGCTGTGATAGAAGCATCACTGGGAACACTGCCAGTTGAGAAGAATATTAAGGCCAGCTTTTTTGGAAGTTCAGCATTTCTTATTACTTTAAACTTTTTCTACTCTCTTTAGCTATTACGTCATCATTCCCTAAAAAACAAGCTTAGAGTGAATGTATTAATTCAAATCGTTTTACTACTGAGGAGAAAATACTGGTATCAGATTATGAGACCCCAAATTTCTTCTGGCCTGTTGGATTGCTATCTAGAAAGCAGGCTACTGGTAGAAGACTTCTTCTTTCTAGGTCCACTGTTTCAGAATGGCTGATTCAAAAATCAGCCCTCTCTGAGGCCAGGTGTGGTGGCTCAGGCCTGTAAATCTTAGCACTTTGGGAGGCCAAGGCAGGAGGATCACTTGAAACCAGGAGTTCAAGACCAGCTGCAGCAACACAGTGAGACTCAGTCACCACACACACACACACACACACACAAATTAGCTAGGTGTAGTGGTACATGCCTGTAGTCCTCACTTCTTGGAAGGCTGAGGTGAGAAGATCACTTGAACTCAGGAGTTCAAGGCTGCAGTGAGCTATGATCATACCATCGCACTGCAGCCTGGGTGACAGTGAGGCCCTCTAAAAATAGTGCTTTCTGATCATTAATGATATTCACAAGGAGACTTTCAACACAACTCTGAAGTAGATAATTTTTCCATTTTGATGTTAGCACTATGTGGCTCTTGTAATGTGCCTAATATCCATCCTCCTACTGTTTTGGTCTAATTCATTGAATGCCCTGTTTTCTAATGGCTCTAATAATACTTCTTCCATGGGCAGTTGTTGGGTTTATAAACTCCCATTCCATTGGGCAAGTTACTATAAAAATATTTACAATCATGAGATTGTTTTGAGGATTAAATAATACATGTATTGAACATAAAGTACTTAGCACAATATTTGTTCCAGATTAAGAACTTCATACCTTCCTTCTCCACTGCTACTTCCACTGCTGCACTAACCCCACCACAATTATCAGGGACTTTTTTTATGCTGAAAAATTTCGTGGAGTAAGAGAAATACATCATTGTTTGAAAACAGAAAATTCTTATTTTGAAATAATTATAGACCCACAGAAAGTTCCAAATATCATACAGAGAGGTCCTGTACATCCTTCACCCAGTCTCCCCAATGGTTACATCTTATGTAGATACAGTTAAACATCAAAGCAAAGAAACTGATAATTGGTATAATGTGTATATATCACACATGTAGACTGGGCAAAAGCACGACGGAAATCGAG